TGAGTGACAGCCCGGGGGCGGGGCCTCCTGAGGGTGCTCCGCCCAGCTTGAGTGAAGACTTGGGGAGGCCACAGCGGCAGTGCTGGCGGGGGCTGCGGTCCACCTCCCTCAGTGGCGCGCTCTCTCCTCTGCACTGCTCCTCCCTTACCCACCCGGCCCCTCCGCAGACTACGCCTTTGCCTCGCCACCCTCGGGCATTGCCCAGACCACCTATGTGGGCATCATCCTGTCGCGGGGCACGGCCGCCAGCATCTCCTTCATGTTCTCCTACATCCTGCTCACCATGTGCCGCAACCTCATCACCTTCCTGCGCGAGACCTTCCTCAACCGCTACGTGCCCTTCGACGCGGCCGTGGACTTCCATCGCCTCATTGCCTCCACTGCCATCGTGCTCACAGGCAGGGCCTGGGGTCCCGCGGTCCTCTCCACGCCCTCCCGCCGCCGACTGGCTTCCCCTCCTCTGAGAGCCCTGCACTTAGCTTGAGTGTGTAAGGATGGAGGTGGCTCCAGCCAGATGTGAAATAAGCCCAGGAGCCCCCACTGGCCTCCCCCGCTCCCTGCGCGGTGCCTCTTCCACGCTTTCAGGGTCACCTTACCAGCCTCCAGCTGACAAGTTACCAACAGCCCAGAATGAGTGCGCGTAATGTGCTATCTCACGTTTATGTTTTAAAACATAATTCCGTGGGAGGAACCAAAGGAGTGAACTTATAATGCATAATTTGGACTCATGGTTGTGTTCATGGATGGTGTGTGTAGGGGACATGGAGAGGAACAGGAAGGTGATCAGAGAGCAGAAATCCAACCCCCTAGGGTCCTTCCTCAGGCCCCCAAGTCTGGCTGGTTGGAGTTCTCCACTTTGGGCTGAATGGGTTGAGCACCCCCACCCCGCTGCCCCCAGGCTCACCCCACCCTGTCTGGTCTTAGTCTTACACAGTGCAGGCCATGTGGTGAACGTGTACCTGTTCTCCATCAGCCCGCTCAGCATCCTGTCCTGCCTCTTCCCTGGCCTCTTCCATGATGATGGGTGAGTAGTGAGTGAGGGGAAGGGGTGTATTATTTGTGAGTAGAAAGAAGCAAATTACCTTGGCTCAGAGGAGAGTGTCACCTTCTAGGTTATAGGACAGACAATGACCAGCCTGAACCCCCAGCTCCAAGTCAGCAGAAAGGGAGACTAGTAGCTGGGTTGGGGTGCCTCATCTGTTGGGGTCCTTTCTGGAAGTCCCAGACATCTCTCAGGATCCTTCCTTGCATTCCCCTTCCCCACAGGTCCGAGTTTCCCCAGAAGTATTACTGGTGGTTCTTCCAGACTGTGCCAGGTGAGAACCCTTCCTGCTCCGTGAATTTCTGGGCTTGGTTCCAAGCTCCAGGTTCTGGGTTCTGTTTACCACAGAGCAGCCCAGTTGTGCTCACTGGGCTCTCATGGTGAGTCAGGCTCTGCCCTGTGGCCCCGAGGACTCTCCTGGGCAGTAGGAGACTGCTTTCCAGTACTTCTCTCAGGAGCTTGACTGGGCTCCCACCCCGACTCTGAACTAGTTCCTCCTTCTGTGGAATGGGCATGTCCCCCTCCACTCTCCCAACGCACACACCTACCAGGACAGTGGCTCTGAGAAATACTGTGCCCCAGCGTCGTGGGGGAAGGACCAGGCTTTTTGTCAAGCCAGGCAGACACCCCCCCCCCCC